ACGATTCTTAGGTTTTAATATTTAATTTTAAAATTTACTTTTTAAATTAAGGGATTTTATACATACAAATTTTTTTAAAAATAAATTTTTTTAAACTTTTTCAGGGGAAAAAAAAGTTATTTTTAATCACCCCTTTTAAAAAAATCTAATTTTTAATTTTAAACCTTTTATTAAAAAAGGGTTAAAATTATTAATAATGAAAGGGGTTTTCCCAAGTTTCTTTTGAAGTGTTTTAACACTCGATAGAAAATTTTTGTAAATGCCTTATATTTTTTCCGTATAAAACAAAGGTTTTATTGAATGATTTAGATTGTGTTTATTTTAGAATTTATTTAATCTAAATTTGGGGTTTTTGTAAAATAAAAAAGTTTAATTTTTGATCCCCCCTCAAATTTAAATTTATTTTAAAATCATCAGTTTCAAATTTGATATTATTTAAAAAGTACCTTTTCCCCCAATTTCCAATAATAATTGGGGGAAAAAAAATTTTTTTTTTTATTAAAAAAATTTTTAATTTTATAATATTAGAAAATTAATCCTAATTCGAAAAAAACCAAAAATAACCCCCCTTTTAGTAAATAAAAAATAACGAAAACTTGATGAAAAAAAAAACGGATTTGCCGAAAAATCAATCAAACCAACCCGTGATTGAAAAAAACGGGCTTTCAAAAATTTGTTCTACAAAAACATTCCCAAAGGGGGAAATTATTTAAAAACCCTAAACTAGCAAAATAACAAAGAAACTTAAAATAATTTTTTTACATTTATCCATAAAAAAAGATAATAACAAGGACTTTTTAACGCCAAGAAAAAAACGTCATTTTTTGCGTACTACGTCATCAGTTTCAGAGAGGGGGATTTATAAACAAATAAAATCTCAAAATTGTTAAATATCATGAAATATACATTTGGTGTATCCTTAATCAACGCATATAAGGTTTACAAATTTCGTGAAAGTGTTTTGGTTACTTTTACAAAACGCATAATTTTGATAATGACTTAATTATTACAAATCTTCAAAGTGTACTCGGATTTCAAAGCGTTGTCCCTTTCTATGAAAACGTGACTTTTTAACATACTATAATAAGGTCAAGAAAATCATGATGGTTTGAATTGTCTCTCTATATATTTCCGGTAAAATAAAGACGATCACGTGGGGCTCATTGGTAATGATACTTAGCAAATTGTGTTTTAATTTAGAAAATAAAAAGTAATCTAAGAATGGCACATGGTATATAAAGGTAAATCGATTAACAAACAAAGGCTATTATAATTAAATGAATCGACACTCGACATCGCGAGGATAATTTCATTTTGATTTTTGCATCAGGTTTTCCAAACGCATTTGAACTATATATTTGTATGTTAACACATTCAAAATACTATAAAATTGATCTGAAATTTCACCTCCGATGATTTTAATTTTTATAGACAAGCTCAATTAATAATATATTAACGCACAAAAATTTAAATCACCTTATTCCTGCCAAAATTCGCACAAAAATTTACAGCAGTAAAGATATATATATTATTATAACAGTAACTTGATCCGAAGGGTCGTATCACGTCGAGTTGACAGGCGCGGATCATCAGATCTAACGAGACGCGAAGCGTCGAGTTTGATCTGATGATCCGCGCCTGTCAACGAGACGTGATACGGCTCTTCGGATCAAGTTACTGTTATAATGATAAATTTATTATATACCCCCTCATAACTAGCAAAATATAGCAAAAGAAAACTTAAGAGATCAATTGCATAACATTTATCCATAAAATAAAGTATAATAACAAGGGACTTTTTAACTCGCAAGAAAAACAACGTCATATTTCTGCGTACTACGTCATCAGTTTTAGAGAGTGGTGATATGGATTCAGAAAACAACATGTTGGTGATCCGGAAAATCGGATCACGACGTCACGTGATAGCGTAAATTCAACAGTAAAATTGGGTGATACACATTAGGTATATAATAAAACCCGTTATACGGTATGCAAATGGACGACAATATGAACAGAACGAGCACATATACCACAAAAGGTTCCAATCAATATTTTTTAGTAAATCATTGAAGTATCAAAACAGATATGTCAGAATCTGTGGTATCTTTTATTTCGTTTTTAGAGGAACATATCGAATTAATGAGGAGTGAAAATTAATAAGGTTAACAGTTAGAGTGTCTTCAAATATAAAAAAAATTGAATTGAGTAGTTTAAATTGACAGAAAGACGATTTTGTTGTACCTTGCTATATTGAACATACCGTTTTTTTTTTCATCTTAAAGAGAGAGAGAGAGGGAACAATACAGAGACGAAACATGATAAAGTGACAAAGCAAGATATAGCGACAGAAAGTGACACAGACTCAAAACATGATGACCAGACAGAACCAAATAATGAAGCAAAGCATGATAAACAGATGGAACACGATAAAGAACCAAAGCATGATGAACAGAGAGAAGTCGAGACAGAGTCAAATCATGATAAAGAGTCACATACTGACGAAGAGCAAAAGCACGATGAACAGATAGTACGCGATATAGAACCAAAGCACGATGAACAGAAAGAAATTGATAAAGAGCAAAAGCATTATGAACAGACAGAACGCGATAAAGAATCAAAGCATGATGAACAGACAGAAGCCAACACAGAGTCAAATCATGATAAAACAGAAAATGATAAAGAGCAAAAGCATTATAAACAGGCAGAGGACGACACGGATCCAAAAGAGACAGAATGTGAAACAAAGTCTTTCATAACTCTGCTTGAGGAGGAATTGGAAGAAAGAAAGTTAAAATTACGATTTGGAAATAAAGATGACGTTGTTTTGGATGTTTTGGATTTTGCTGGTCAAGGAGAATACTACGCCTCTCATCAGACATATATTCGTAAGGATGCTATATTCATTCTGTTGGTAGATACATCTAAAGACGTCAATAAAAGAACAGAACAACAAGAAAGAAAAGGGAATTTAAGTATTCAGAAGACAGTTGACAAAAAGATTTTTCTTTGCGATAGACCTGGAGTTGCTTTTCACTGTTGGAGCCCCAAAGGTAAAATTAAACATGACACGATCTATGAGACATTAAAAGGATTTTATTAAATAAAAATAATCTGTTTCATGAACATTTTCAGATTATTTTTACTACTGGTTGAAAACTATTCAAATCCATGGGGGTATGAGTGAACGTATAATTTTTGTTGGAACTCATGAAGACAAAAAAAGGTATTTTTTTAAAATTCACAATTCTTGATATATAGGAATAGTCTTTCGTGTAAATTAAAGATCTGGAACGTCAGTTCTATTCTATTTTTTGTGTTGATAATTTTATTTTACAAATTTTGAAAAAAAATTTTTGTCATCAATTGATTTCAATTTTTGAATCTAATAGTGTCTCTTTGATATGCATTCTATTATTTTCTATCAAAATCCATGGGAAATACTTAGGTGTATTTAACAAGTCATGGTTTTTTTTTGTTTATTAGAGTATAATACATTATTCATGAATTTTTATATTAGTAATTTTGTTACTCTGATTATACTATAGAATTTAATTTTGGATTTTTTTTAATATCAGAGCTTAAATTCTTATAAATTTGAAACATTTTTGTTATATTTAGAAGTAAATTTGAATATACCAGTTACAGTTCCATTTTTTTTCTAAATTAAAAAATGCATATTTAAATTGGATAATGTGAAATATAGCAATCTGAAATCCATGGCAAAATACTTTTATTTACAATGCTAAAATTTTAAATTACTAAAATAAAGATAGAATTATACATGTAACTACGCTGCAGAGTTAAGGCTACATAACTGACACGGTGTTTCATTTATAAAGGAAACGTTTACTATATCACTCCAAAATAAGATTCTCACAATGAAATAATTGTTATTATACCACCCGCAAACGAAGTATATAGGAATCACCTTGTCCGTCTGTCCGTCTGTCTATCTCTCCGTCTGTCTGTCTGTCCGTCCGTCCAGCTGTCCGTCTGTCTGTGCAATCGTGTCCGATCCATATCTTTCTTACAGAGGGACATTAGAATCAACTACTCCACACTAAGATTGCTCATGACCCAAGGGTATGTCATGAACTTGAACCAAGGTCATTTGGAGAAGTTCAAGGTCACTGGAAGAAAAATTTCATAATTCGTGTCCGGTCCATATCTTTCTTATGGATAAACTTGGTAGGTTCTCATTTCACACAGATTGCGCATGACCCAAGGATGTGTCATGACCTTGATCCAAGGTCATTTGGAGAAGTTCAAGGTCACTGATAGAAAAATTTCATAATTCGTGTCCGGTCCATATCTTTCTTATGGATAAACTTGGTAGGTTCTCATTTCACACAAAGATTGCCCATGACCCACGGGTGTGTCATGACCTTGACCCAAGGTTATTTGGGGAAGTTCAAGGTCACTGGAATATTTCATAATTCGTGTTTGATACATATCTTTATTATGGAAAAACTTACTTCTGAAAAACCCAGCGGGGGGTATTTTGTCCCGTTTTGACAGTTCTAGTTTTAAACTGCATTCAGTCCTGTGCAGTGGTTAGAGCGACTGCTAAAATGTTGTTTCATATGGAGCTGGTTCTTACGTTACAGGTTCGGATCCTCTGATATAAAAGAAGTCTTTGTTTTTTCTGCTCCTATTTTGTATTGGTGAATTGAGTCTTCTTATAGTCATCTCCATATATTTTATTTCACCCACTGGATGCCATACACCTATAAAATTCTCATACTGCATTACTTATGAAGCCTTTAAGGGGCATTAATGTTCTATGGACATGTTCCTAGTTTTTGAAATCTTTGCAGTTAGTGGAAATATTTTTAATCATTAGATTGAACGTATCAAGTTGTTTTTATTAGTTAAATATAGGTAGCTTTAAAGCTTTGCTGGGAAATTGGGTTGCTAAGAAATCAATCTGTCTGTGAAAACATTTAGATTTAGAGATTTTGACCAACATTTCCCCATTGAGTGTCTTTAAATAAATCAACTAGTAACTCACAGATAAACAGCAGTTGGTACTGTCATTAAAAACTTATATGACTCATATAGTACTATAACCCATTTTGAAATCGTTTAGAATCCATCAATTTAGATGGAAGAACTTCAATGTTAGCGCCTGATCCCACCTCTTTTGTTCTTGAGGTCCGTGTTTTTTCTGCTCCTATTTTGTATTGTTTTATGGACTTTGAATACTGTTCGTTTTCTTAATAAATATCATTAGACTAGACTTTAAAATGGTTAAACATTAAGGGTGTGAGAGGGGTGCATGACATAAATGTTTTTAGTTATGAAGGGACTCGGTTAAATAATGATAATCTAAGTTCAGATTCCTTATAATAAATATCTTTTAAAAAGCTGAATGTCGTTTATTCCCAAAATAATTAGTTTCATAGATGGATACTGTGAATTTACTATTTTTAGCTCTTCTGAGCCAAAGGCTCAAAGAGCTAATGCTATGGCCATTTGTGCGGTGTGCGTCGTGCGGTGTGCGGTGTGCGTTAACTTTTTAGAATATGGGCCATAACTCGAGAACCCCTTGGCCAATCAGTGTCAAATTTGTCACAGGGTATCCTTGGCCCAAGGGTTACCCTTTATACTAAAATAAGGGTTGGGACCCTAAAACAAGGGGAGATAATCAAGAAAACAAAACCAAAAGTACTGGTTGCGAAAAAATCTTCTTCTCCAGAACCACCGGGCATATTTTCACCAAACTTACATGCAGGGATCAGAATATGTTGAAGATTAAAATTTGTTCAAGGCATGACCCTTGGGCAAAGGGCGTGGTCTCAAGGTCACTTCAAAGTTGACCTAAATTTACAAATAATAAAAATGTTTATATTTTGCTTACTATTATGACTAGGATCATCAAATCTTGTAAGTTGATGCATCTCAGGACTTCACATCATGTTAACTCAAAAGTAGATCATGGTGACCTACTTTTTAAATTTTGTAAGCATTTGTTTTCAAATTGATTTGAAGGCATATTTCGGGTACTTTAAGGCCTATGATCATCAAACTTTGTCAATTGATGCATCTCGGGTCCTTGAACAAGGTCAGCTTAAAAGTAGGTCACCGTGACCTACTTTTTGAACTTTATGACTAATTCTTTTTAAAACATTCAATCCAATTATTTCAGACACAGAGAGGTTTAGAATCATCAAATCTTGTAATTTGATGCATCTTGGGACATAAAAACATATTTATGAAAAAGTAGGTCACTGTAACCTACTTTTTAATTTCTGTAAGCAATTGTTTTCCAATTGATTTGAAGACATATTTCGGACACTTTAAGGCCTATGATCATCAAACTTTGTCATTTGATGCATCTTGGGTCCTTGAACAACATCATCTTAAAAGTAGGTCACCGTGACCTTCTTTTTGAACTTTATGACTAATTCTTTTTTAAACATTTAATCCAATTATTTCAGACACTGAGAGGTTTAAAATTATCAAATCTTGTAAATTGATGCATCTTGGGACCTTAAAACATATTTATGAAAAAGTACGTCACCGTGACCTACTTTTTGAATGTTGCAGGCATTTGTTTATGAATTGTTTAAAAGGCATATTTTGATTACCTTCAGACCAAGGATAATCAAACTTGGTCAGCAGATGCATCTGTAACTTAAAAAATGTCCACCAAAATATAGGTCACGGTGACCTAGTTTCAACATTTTATGGCTACATTTTGGTATCTTAGGTATTTATTGGCTTAGAATTATCAAACTTTGTTATTTGATGCGTCTTAGGTTTTCGGAGAGTGACAACTAAAAAGTAGGTCACCCTGACCTACTTTTGACATTTTATGGCTTTATTTATGTATCTATGGTACTTATAGGCTTAGAATCATCACACTTTGTGAGTTGATGCGTCTTGGGTTTTCGGAGAATGATGTCCAAAAAGTAGGTCACTGTGACCTACTTTCTACATTTTATGGCTTTATTTAAGTATCTTAGGTATTTATTGGCTTAGAATCATCAAACTGTGTGAGTTGATGCGTCTTAGGTGTTCGGATAGTGACGACCAAAAAGTAGGTCACGGTGACCTACTTTAAACATTTTATGGCTTTATTTAAGTATCTACGGTACTTATTGGCTTAGAATCATCAAACTCTGTAAGTTGATGCATCTTGGGTTTTCGGAGAATGATGTCCAAAAAGTAGGTCACGGTGATCTAATTTTTGACATTTTATGGCTTTATTTTGGTATCTACGATACTTACTGGTTTAACTTTGTTTGTTGATGCATCTTTGGTTTTTAGAGATTGTTGACCAAAAAGTGGGTCATGGTGACCTACTTTTGAATATCTGAAGGACTTATTGGCTTAGAATCATCAAACTCTGTTAGTTGATGTATCTTGGGTTTTCATAGAATGTAGACAAAAAAGTAGGTCATGGTGACCTACTTTTAAATATCTCAAATACTTATTGGCTTAGAAGCTTCAATCTTTGTTTATTAATGCATCTTGAGTCCTCAGAAAACCTCAATCTTAATATAGGTCACTGTGATGTACTTATGGTTTTTTATAGCTTTATTATTAAAAATATTTTCAGTCCTAATTGGCTAAGAATCATCAAACTTTGTCAGTTGATGCAACTTGGGTCTAAGGATACTCAGGGTAAGAGGCTTCAAATATAAGTGATAGATTGTACAATTTATCAGAAGAGCGATTCAAGGCCCTTGGGCCTCTTGTTGTTATTCACATGACTTTGCCTAATTCACTTCACTTAGTATATGGTTTCCCAAATGTCGAGATATCTAGCATTCTAACTTTCTAATCTTCCAAAAACTGACGTTTTAACTATTTATATTTTTGTAGGGATGATTTCGACTTTGGCCATCTACTAAACGATGCTATTACTGAGAATCTCATCACAGAAAAATATTCCAAACCTATCATTACAAATCTTTGTAGATATGATGAAGTAACTGAGGACGCTTTATCTAAAATAAAAAATGAAATCTGTATACACATCAAAAAATGCACAAGGGAGAATCAGCCTGCAAAATGGGTAAAATTTGCAAGTCGGTTTGATATGATCAAGAGAAAATTCCATATGGGTACAATTGAAGACGTTTTGCAGATGATTGATCATTTCGACCCTGAAATGAGTGATACAGAAGTAGCAGATATGCTCCATTTCTTCCACAGCTCTGGAAAAATCATTTTCTTCAATATAGATAGATTACAAGATATTGTAATTCTTGATATTCCGTGGTTTATTAACTGTTTCAAGCATATAATTGCTGATCGCAAGCACGTGGAAGAAGACTGTAGCATTGTTGATGTTAAAGACCAAAAAATGTTGCGCATTTTTCATGAAAAAGGTATATTAGAGATTTGTCTTTACAGGAAATTATTGACACAGAAAAGCATTTCAGAACAGTATCAGAACACTTTAGGTGAATATCAGAGTAAGCTTGGCATGATGTTCTACATTCAGAATTACAAAATCAATGATGGATCGAGCATAGACGGTGGGTATATTCCGAGCATAAACACCCAGGAATTCAAACCCATCATTGAGAGGTATGGAAGCGACGAATCATCACAGATCCTTTGCATTAAGTTCAAAGACTATCTGCCATATGATTTCTTTGGCAGATTAGTAGTAGCTTGTGTGAACTCAGGACATTGGCATCCATACGATTACCGGTTGTGCAAAAATGGGGCAGATATGTGTTATCGTGATTCAAACAATGATAGCAAACAAATATACCTTTTTACCTCAAGAAAGATCGTTACTGCTCAATTTATTGGAAAACATTCTAAAAAACATGGACTCGAAGTCAAGCAAGAAATCCTTAACATTGTTAGGCAACTTGTTCAGTTTTACGCACGTTCTAATGAATATGAGATAGGGTTCCTTTGTAGAAAAAAAGAGGGTTATATGGAAGACTCAGTAAATCACTTTGTGTCAAAAAGATACAAGTACTGTCAGGGATGTCATGGAACTTGTGACTGGGTAGATACCGAATCGTTTTGGAAAGAGGTATGAATATGAATTTCAACTGAATGATTGTTTTATATTGAGTGAGTCATATATATTATATTTACTTTTTAGGATTAATTATGATCTAAATATTCGGAAGTCAAATTCACTCATATTATTTTGCATTATAGGAAAGTAACACAGAAAACACAATTTCGACAAGAAAGCTTGTACCTTCACAGATTGCCTACAAAGTTTACTCTCATTTTGTCACACGAGTTTCTGAGATAGCAGGTATGGTGCAGGAAATAAATTAAGACATTATTTAAGGAAACTTCTAGATTCGAAATATTACAATACAATTTAAAGAATGTTTCATTTAATTATATTCATAGATGAACGTTAAGCCTTGCCAATTTCCATAGATAAAATGTTGGAAGAGTAAATATATTCAAATCTGTATGAAATTATTGGGCCAAAGCGTCACTCGGTCAAATGTTGTGTTTATGCCACCTGCAGTGAAAATTATTTTGGTCCTTCGTATTGATTATATCTTGATGACGTACATAGGTCAATTGAAAGATGTTGATATTTTCCATTAACAAGTGTCCATTTAAGTTACTTTTGAGTGAGATTCGTTTGAATAATGGCCCTAAAATCGTTCACATTTTCAGTCCGAAATTATTTTGTGTGTATGTTAATTAATACGAACGCTATGCGTTAAAATATCCCAACCCCTTTCAACCAATATCAAGAAATCACGGAATGATATTTCATATCAAGATAACATTTTTTGTAAGTTCAAAAATCAATTGAAAGGTTCCAGTACGGTGTAAAGTTACACACCACATATTTCAGGTATATAAATACGAAAGAGCGTAGGATTAAATTATGTAAATTAAGGTCTATGGTCGATACAATAGTTTTTCAAAAAAAAATCATTTTATCATTAAGTCAAATACTTATTTTTTTCAGCATTTAATATACATATACCATGTTAACAATATTCGAGTTTTTTTTTATTTTAACAGCTACAACTACAATACTACAGGGCATCAGTAGCAATTTAGATTGGGCATGGATAGACGATCTAGCATTTATTGGGCGAGAATTGAACGACCTCCATAGAAAAAGTGATGCTGATGCTGAAAAGAAAGATACTGCTTTAAGAAACATTAGCAAAGTCCTCAAAAAAGTATACTTATATATACTTAATCTTTAACAATTAAAAATATTTACACCTTTAGAAGAGGCATTTATATCATTATTGTACATGGAATTTTTTTCAGATTTCGTGTGGTCTAGATAAGAAAACAGGTTTTAAAGACTTTAGAAAGGAAATCTTCTTTCTCTGGACACAAACCACTGGCCTTTTTGAGGAAATTCAAGGTTATATATAATATTAGATTTTTAAAACTTTATGCTTCTTATTCGTTATCCGAAATTCAATTCATTTCTTTATATTTTTTATGAATTTCATTTTTTTAACAAAAAATAGGAATCCCTGTGGTGTCTTTGAAACAAAAAGAAAAACACGGTACTGAAATATCATTAGAAGCAGAAACAGATGTCCCGATCCGCCATCATCTTTGGTTAAAAAAAATACAGAGTAATAGGCAATACAAAGTTTTACGTCCTAGTGATGAAGAAGGAGAAAAGTACAAATTTCAGGAGTACAAAGACAAACTATTGATGACGATTAAGAACTTTGATGTACAGGATAATGGACACTACTTTGTTTTAGTTGTAACTGAAACGGGTGCTTCTGTTTGTAGAGAAACTATTCAACCGTTTGCAGGTAAGATAGAAATAGTATCTACCATTTACTTAATCTTGAAACTTTTTAATTAAAATATATTAATTACCAGGCATGACTTGATGACCTTCCTGGTACAATTCGTTATAAATGCAAACACAACCTTTTACGTTTTCGGCTAAGTAATGGGGAATGTAACTTAATGCATAACTAGTGCTAATTGTAACGGGGACCGTTACAGATGTTCCCCAAACGCTCCCGAACTCCCTTTTGGTGCCATATCCCCTGTAAGCCTCATTAAATAAGACAAACTCTATGCATTTGAGACTTCAACAACGTTTACCCAGAAGTGTACCAAGTTGATTTAAATTTTAGCATTGCACGCGTGCGCATGCGAATGCATCAGCGTAATTACCATATCATCTTGTCTACAAAATCTATATATTTTAATATACTAAATATGAAAGTATTTAATCCAAAAGTATTAAAAAATACGCTCATTCAAGTGTATATTTGATTTTACCCATTTCACGTGCACGCACGTGCATACATTAGCATTGTGACCATACCTTCTTGTAGAAGTCCATTACATCTATCTATGTTCTAGATCCCATCCCGTTTGGTTGGAAAACAAGAGAGTTATAGCAATTTCAAGTTTCATCCAATCAGATTGCAGCAAATCTTCAGAAACAGAGCTTTCATTATGTATTTGCACATTTTGGATCAGAGGTTGTGCTCTATATGAAATATTGAAAAAACGCTTCAATTTTAGGTGATTTTCAAAAGAATTTAAAGGACATGAGGAAAATGACGCATTTTATGACGTCATAATGCATTGACTTGATGGGAAATTACGTCATGATTAATAGATACATGGTAACCAACAATCCAAGTGATAAATTCTGCATTTGCAACCTAGACCGAATGGTTTTGATTTTTCAGAAATTCTCAGGGCTAAATAATGCCCAAAATGGCTCTAGCTCTTTCAAAGCATTTCGTCAAAAAACAAAGGAGATATAGTCATTTAAAGTTTCATCCAATCAGATTGCAGCACACGTGCACGCACGTGATATCATAAAACTTTTTTTATATCATATTGTAAAATTCTATAATTCATGACTATGTTTAAAATTTGAAAGC